TATATATATATATATATATATATATATATAAATATAGATAGATATTTGTATTAATGTAAAGTATAACATAAATTGTATTTCCTCCAACTCTCCTTCTTATGTAAATATAATAACTTCCACTAATTATGTTCATTATGGTGTTTACTCCTACCTCTCATCCATGATCTCAAATGGGTTAATGTCATATAGATGAGTCATAGCAACCCTTTGTGTTCCTCAATCCTATCCTATAACCCTTTGTGTTCCTCAATCATATCCTATAAATAGTGATATTTGACACAATATTGTACACATTCAAAATATTGGAAAAAATAAATAACTCTTTATGCTCTCCTCTTATCTCTTTTTATTTGTTTTGTTTAATGTTAATATTTCTTGTTTGTTTTCATTGTATAACATTCTTATGTTTTGTTGTAATTATTATTGAAAAGTTGCACAAATTTGTTGCTATGTCATTTGCATCACAAAATTTATATGAAGTATTTTGAGATAAATTTTGTGTGTGCGCGTGTATGTGTGTGTGTGTTGCGTGTGTATGCGCGTGCGTTTGTGTGTTATTCAATTATAACTGGATATGATCTTAAAATTTTCAATATAACCTTGGCAAATCTTTCTATTGAAGCTTTAAGCATTTCTCCGAATACCTTCTGACTAAAAAAAAGAATGAAACACACAGCAATATTCTCTTTGCAAAACTAAAGAAGAAATAATCTTTTTCATACATATATGTTTTGTTGACCTAATTCAAACATATATGACGACGAGTGGTTGCAATGGTGGTGTTACTAAAGGAGGAGTTTTTTCTGAAGCTTGTTAAAAGAGGGTACCAATTAAATAATTTAAGTTGTTTCTAAATTATTATTTGCCCAATACAAATACGAACTAATCGAGCCTCAATGTGGGGCTTCGTCCAAGTTCTAGAACTTTCCGCACATAGGTAAAAATACAACCTACAAAAATGGTGCCTCATGAAACTTTTACACATTTGCCCTTTAAATGGACCTACATGATGCAAATACCAACTAATCAAGTCTTAGTGTGAGGCCAGGTCTAAGCTCTAGAACTGTCTACATATACACAGCTAGGGGTGTACATGACCGGGTTGGTTCGGGTTTTTCAAATATCACACCAAACCATTTGTGTCGGATTTTTAAATCTATAAACCAAACCAAACCAATAAAACTCGGGTTTTTCAACTTCGGGTTTTTCGGATTTTCGGGTTTTTTCCGGAAAAGTATTCATACAAACATATAATTTACTTGTACTTCAAATATTTTTGGATTTTTTCGGTAAAGTTTGCATACAAACATATAATTAACTTGTGCTCCAAATATTTCTTTAGTCCAACCAAAATACAATTATCTAAGGTGTTTCTTAAGAAAATAACACAAAATATTATATGAGTAATGATACTAAAATATCCAACAAAAAATAATAATAATGAAATCGTGTAAAACAAATATTGCAAATTAACAAGTCATAATGAAAATGATCATAATTTAAAAGTAGTAAATCATGCTAAAATTAAGTTTAATAAGTATTAGTTACATGACTAAATATTAAAGGAATTAAAATTAGATTATGTATTTTAATTGTCTAAACCAATGTAAAATTAAAGAACAAATATTCAATATTATTGTCATTCTTAGTGTTGAATTGATTTTCTTTTTGCATTAGTATTAATTTGATTTTGATTTAAGCTTTATTATAATTACCAACATCTGTGGACTATAATCTTTATTGAACCATTTAGAATTCTAACTCAAACTTGAAATAATATTATATGAAAAGATAAAAACTATGAAAAAGTATAAGAAATATTTAAAAATTATATCAAAGTAAATATTTTTATGTATAAAATAAAATTTTAAAATTATATATATAATGTCGGGTTGGTTTGGTCTCGGGTTGGTTTTTTTTAGTTAAAATCAAACCAACCCAAATATAGTCGGGTTTTTTTTCAATACCAAACCAAGTCAAACCAACCACTAGTTGGGGTTTTTTTCCTCGATTTGACTCGATTTGCGGTTTGGTTCGATTTTCGGTTTGGTTTTGTACACCCCTATACACAGCTAACAATACAACCTACAAAACATGTGCCTCATGAATCTTTTACATATTTGCCCCTTAAATGGACCTTCTTGCAAATATGAACTAATAAAGCCTGAATATAGGATCATCCGCACACAGTTAACAATATAACCTACTACAAAACAAGAGACTCCTGAAATTTTTGCTTATTTACCCCCCTTAATGAACCTTGGTGCAAATACGACCAAATCGAGCCTCGATGTGGGCACCATCCCAAGCTCCAGAAACTTCCTAACAAAGCTAACAATACATCCTATAAATCAAACACCATCCTCAATTTTAAAAAAAAATGTCTTATGTCTCTCTCATCAATGTTCAGTAAACTATAGGTACAGATATGGAGGTTACACATGGAGTTAATTCCATCTCTTGAAGGGCTAACCCCAACTGAAGTCATATCAATGATTTTTACTCATATTTTTCAATTCGTCACCTCTATTCCGCCACCAGAAGATATGCATAATATTGTGGCAGTGGTGGACACAACGAATACCTCAATCTCCTTCCTCGAAGGTCGTCCTATCAATGCAGAACCTATTTGGGAGGGATATTACTTGTATGCATCGCTTCTATTGAAGCGAGAATGATGGTTAAAGTTTTAGGTGAAGGGATTGATTGCTCTATTTGTTTATCAAATTTTCAAATTGGCGAGGAAGCTAATGAGATGCCTTGTAAACATCGTTTTCATTCGATTTGTATTGACAGGTGGTTGAGGATCAATGGATCGTGTCTGATTTGTAGGTATAAGATGCCAGTGAACGAACAATGTGAGAAGAAAGTTGAAGAAAGTGGTGAAGATGAAAGAGATGATGATAGTAGCAGTGATATGGGGGAAGATAAAGTGATTTTTATTTCTCGCGTTATCATTACACCAGAAAATATACACCAGCTAACAATACCGATAACAAGAATCAATAGACATTCTGATGATATGTTGATGGAAGTAAGAGTGCATAGACATTCTGATGTATCCGAAGCTGAAGCTGGAGATGGAGATGTATCTGAAGCTGTTGGAAATGGCGATGTATCCAAAGCTGAAAATGACGATGTACCCGAAGCTGGAAACGGTGATGTATCCGAAACTAGAAATGGCGTTGAATTGTAAGCTAGAGACTACGATGTATCCGAAGTCGGAGATGGCGATGTATCTGAAGCTAGAGATGGCGGAGATGGCGGAGATGGCGATGAATCCAAAGCTCAAGATATGGCCATTGATAACCATTAATTTAGTTATTTTCCTTATTTGTTTTTGACATCTTCGGAGAGCTTTTATGCGTTACCCACTTTGATTTTTCACTAGTATCTTGTATTTTCTAAAATTTTCAAAGGCTTCTAATTTATATTTTAGGAAATACACCCAACTCATGCGACTGAAATCATCTGTGATCAGTTATTTGGTCTCCATGTGACCTCATTTGACTAATAATAGCCATTGCTCTAGACCAAAATTTCATGCACATGTTCATCACCCTTCATGATTAAAGTTTTAAACTCATGCCGAAGAATTTGAAGTTTTACAACTATTACCTTTGATGAGCCTTGAAATTTTGTTTGCAAAATTCTACAGGCTTGCCTTTAAGTGGTGGCTGCTGCTGCAATTCGGGAAAAGACCGTCTCATGGATTGCCTATTGAAGGAAGAACAATGCCTTTGCGTCTTTCTTTCTATTTTCCTTCAGCCATTGCTCTTCATTCGGACCTGCAAATCCAGTCTCTATCAAGTCCCAAAGATCTTGAGGCTTAAATAAAATCTTCATCTTGATGCTCCAGAACTGATAGCTTTGTCCCATAAAATGGGATGGCTGGCTGAGCTATGTTCAGAGAACTTCCATTGGAAGCCATGGTGTTTTTTTGTTACTAGGTCGTTTGAAGCTAAGCCTTGCTCTGATACCACAAATGTTGGAGAATAGAGATCTTAAGCTCACTCAAGAACAAAATATTTGAAAGGAAGGAATTAACTAGCAGTAAAGTTGAAGAGGAAATATAGCAATGTATGATAGGCAGAAAGATTGATGGAAGTGTAGGTTGTTGGAAGTTTAGGCTGCTTTTCTGATTCTATTCATCAGCAATGATGCCTTTTAAATAGGCTTACAACTCAACTTAAATACAGAATTAAAAGGGTGCACTAACTCAATAGTGCATTCAACTAAAAACAATAAACTTAAGGACCAAATAACAACTATCCTAGACTAAGTCAAAGTGCAGTAAAATACTTAAAGAAAGTTACAGTTACTTTCCTCTTCTTTCATTTGAATCATTTATTCAACAGTGATATGTGTCTACCACACATCCCCAGTTTTATTACCTTTTGTCGTTGAACCAAAGCCATGATAGCAAGGATTTATATCAACTATGATAAGATCAACATATGTGCATCCATTACAAAGTTATCAACAAAATATCATGGCTGCTCTATAATATGTGTAACTCATATCTAGCAGTAATAACACTTCTCAGTGTGTAGATGAAATTCTACTCGAGTATCAGAAGTGAAAGCTTTCTTAAAAGAAGACAAGTTAAAGTTGAGTTAGGACCTGATACATTTCTTTGAACTTCAACGATATGGTATTAAAGCCCGCCATAAACTCATCCAACCTGAATTTTAGTTACAAATGTTATAAGCTAATGAAGTATCACTAATACATGTGAAGATTGAAATGGACATTCTAATGATAAACATGACTTGCCTTCTCTTTCTCCACTCATCATAATGTTATTTTATATCATCATGCTCTTGGGTAACAAAATCAAGTTCTTGGACTCTCTCATTTTACACAGATACTTTGTTCCGATACCTGGTGACAGTGGACACTATTAGTATATCAAGAGAAACTGTAATCCTATAAGTTTTTACTGCATATAAATGTTGACTGGTGCATATTCAGAGATCGGGTCAAGATTTGGATTCATCTCTTTTAGTCGAGCTTCTAGGTTTGCAACCATCTCCAAAGCTCTATTAAGGTCATAAGTCTCACCAAGAGTGCCATCCCTCAAAGTTGTTTGAAGCTTTTCTGAATCCACCGAGTCCTTTTGAATCTTATATCAAGAGGAACAAATATGTGTATTGACAATAATATCAACGGCGGATATGAGTGTATGTATATAAGATAGATAGATACATAAAAGCTATGGCGTCCCAGATAATGGTAAGAAGTCAGCATTTGAAAGAAATCCAGCTTACTGCTCAATATGCTTTGAAAGAGCAATAAGCAAATCATCAAGCTTTTTCTTATATCCTTTGCCTTTGAGCTCCAAGTCTTTATAGGTCTTCTTCATATCTTGTAAGTTGTAATTAGCATCCACCTGCAGCTCAAATTGAACTGAATTAGAAACAAATTCCACATAGAAGCAAGAAAGCTTCATAGAGACTGGCACAAAACCTCTGAAGAACACAATTGATCCACAGTCTTCTTCAAAGTTACATACTCATTTTTAGCATCATTCAGAGAAGCAGAGTGCTGATGAAAGAGCTAGAGAATTATGAAAAGACATCAAAGAAAACAAAAAGAGTTATAGACAACTTTAATGCAACATTCATAATCATAAAATGCCGAAAGTAAATGGAGATATTATCTAACCTCATATATGTTATTATAGTCCTCTTTGACAACAAATGATTTCAGTTCGATCTTTTTGAAGGTACAAGGCAATTTTTCTTCCTCCACAGCCAGACTTTCCTTTCTTTGATTCCTCAATCCCTTTTGTGAGTTTCTTACCTTTTGTGAGTTTCTTAATCATTTTCTGTCTTGTTTCTATCTGAACTTTACTACGGTAGATCTCTGTGCCTTTTTTATCAATGTCCTGGTGAAGGCAAAATAAAAGCAGCATGAATGGTGTAATTAAATACACAATTCAATATGCACAAGGTCATATCCACTTACAGATTGAATTTTGGTGACCTTTGTCTTTTGATTTTTCAAACGCTCACTACCAGCATTCTCTATATTTTTTTTTCTGAAGTTCTGTCGCCTGAAGTAATTAAATACTTGCTTAAAGCAGCTTTTACCACTTGCCATGCTTTAGGTAATTACAGAAGTGTCTTGCAAAATGTGCAAATAAAGCAATAATTTACCTTCTCTTTTAATTGTTGTGAACTTTGTGTAAGCCTGTTCATTTCCTTTTCTTAAGAAGACATTATTTTCTTGAGTTACTTCAATCTACAAACATCATTCAGTTTCTTTTTAAAATCATTGTGTTGGGACTTTAAACTGTCAATCTGTCCCAAGGAAACAAATTTCAGTTATCTTTAGATGCAAAAGTGAAATATGTTTTGAGCCAAGGGTCTATCGAAAACAACCTCTCTACCCCACAAAGCTAGAGGCAAGGTCTGTGTACATCCTACCCTCTTCAACCCCACTCTGGTATTATAATGGGTATGTTGTTGTTAGATGTTGGATCAAAAAACTTGGTGCACAATGCACTTAGTCGTTGCATCAAATTGCTCATGTTTGTCCATCATCTATAACCTTGAGTATATATCATTGTCTCATTCTTGTATGATGTTGGAAAATAGTTGAGACTGAGGTTTTCCGAAGTGAGCTTGCTGATGTTCGTGCTGAGCTAGAGCCTTGGGAAAAACTATTAATTGAGCACAAGGGAAAATTTGAAGTTGCATCAACTGAAAGTAAACTTTTGACTGACAAGGTATTCAACCAATTTACAACATAAAAGATTGTTCTTTCTCATTTATTTCATACTCAGACAATGATCACTGTAATTTTCCTCCAGTTTTGGAATCAGAGTTTCCGCCTTCTCACAGTCCTTTGTTAGGTCAGTAATTTTTGTAGAACCCTAACATCCGAGAAAACAGACCAGATAGGAACATCAATCAAAGCCAGTTATTCCCATATATTTATGAATTTTAATCTAGGAAGCAACTTTCAGTTTTTCATACCTAATCGAGTTTATCATTAAGCTTCTTTATTTTGTGCTTCAAGTGACTTAAATCTTCTCGGTATTTTACATCTTGCCTTTCAAATTCCTTGAACTCATCCTTGCAGCGCCTCAAACTGTTATCAAACTCCTAAATTTTCAAACGTAAGAAGGGAATTGTATTCAAAGCAAGGTGATCAAGATTCTTTGCTCGAAGTCAATAAGTAGGAAGGAAATAAAAATGCAACAGATATATTCAATTCTTATCCATACCTCTTGTTTCTGCAAATGCTTTGAGTGCTTTGACTCAAGCTCCTTCAATGTTTTGTTACTTTCTCGAATTTTCTCCCTAAAAATAAGCCAGTAATTAGCTCCATTAGATTTCAACATATTACATAAGGAACGCTTATATTTGCACAACCTTTGTTTAGAAAAAGACCCCACCTCTGTAATTTAAGGTTCTCTTCCTGTCCAGAAATGTTTGTTTGCATCTCTGAAATTTGAGTTGAATTAACTTCAAAAGCCAATTTTGTAGCCATCTCTCGACATTTTAATAGTGATAATTCTTTAAGCATGTAGGCTTCAACTTCATTCTTAACACCCTGACAAAGGAACCAAGATAGTATGATTAATTTTCTGTAATTTCAAGGAAATAAAATCTCGTAATGGTCAAAATCTAAGTTGTTTGGACTCTTTAAAAATGTTGTTGGGTGCTTGTTGGACCCTCCAAAAGTAGTGCATTTTTGGAGGATCCAACATGAGTGTGGCAACATTTTTGGACAGTCCGAACAACATAGGTCAAAATATACCTCCAAGTTATCTCTTTCTTTCTCTGCTAACTTGACCATTTAAACAACACCAGACCTTCTTTCATTGAGGGATTCTAGCTTACAAAAGAGCATTAAGAAATAGTAAATGCATGTTTTAGAAGTATTGAATGCACTTGCTTAGGCACTTACTCTTGTCAATGAACAGTGATTCATTATAGACTACATAGTACTGTTCCTAAATTCAAACATTTGCTTCCTGTCTAAATTATTGCCTAAACAAAAATGCAGAAAGAAAAAAAAAAGATACAAAACTAAAGGACGGGAATAATTGTAAAAAAAAAAAAAAAAAATTTACAAAGTATATAATGTCTATTAACTTTTAATATAAGAAACGAACATCCAAGAAATAATTTATGCATGACCAAACTTTGCATAACTAATAAATGCATTACTAATACTTGCATAGTTCTAGCCAGTTACCAAACAACCCCAGAGGATTCGATATTATATCACATTGCATTTTCATGCCAAAAGTTTTAATCTAGATTGATGAACAATGATTACAGATTCAGGACAAGGTTGCAAGGGTCTTATATTCAGCTATCACAACAAATTGTGACGGAATACATGACAGTTCAAAAAGTATCAACACTCTGGCAACAATAAAAGAGTTTACCATAAAGGTTGAGAACTTACTGCTTAAATGATTCTGCAATCTTCTCAACATATTTGTTGGTTCCAATAATATCTTCTAGATACTCCAGAAAGCCTTCATCATGGGCTACTTGCGCTTTTGGTTTCATCAACGATATTTGCTCAACCTCACCATGAAAAATCCAACCACTCCAATCCCATAATGAAACCATATTCGCGAAGTTAACATCAAGCAAGTGATATAAACTGGTTATTATCTAAGTCAACCCCTCTCCCCTTCAGTTACTTGGTGACCTCTATAAAGTTACTTGACTGGTCATTGACAAAGTACTTAGAGGAATTATCTCGGAATGCCACACATGTGATCACAAAATCACTTCCAGGAACCGTTTCGTATGTCTCACCGTCCTTGAATAAAAGAAGAAACACTTAATTCAAAAGTAAAACTGCAAATCTAAATGACCATCTCGAAAAGAGGAAATCAAGCAGTTACAATGAACAGATACGCCAGCACTCTCCAAATTCTGGTGATTAGTTAAATTGTGGATGAACTCTGAAACTTTATTAAGACGTCTGCGCAGTTTATAATCAAAGATGAAAATGCTAAACTTTCACGCCAGAGATAAGCTGTTGTACACAAGTAAATTCCATAACCATCCATATTGAAATTCAACCAGCCGAGCAATTATAATGGTTAGTATTTAGGACTAAGAATTTCAGCATTTAGAATAGACCGGATTTTAGTAGTGCAGCTAATGCTCGTTTTCACTAACAAAAAAAGGTTAGATGAAACAGTTAGCACAATTCAACAATAATATGTGTCAAATCTATGAAATTGCTTCTAGACTACTCGTATCTTACCTGTTTGGCTCGCTTCCCAAACACGAACAACATTGCATCAATTATGTTACTCTTTCCACTACCATTAGGATTTAGGACCACAACGGCAGAAAAGCTCTGAAAGTAAAACGACATAAATTTCCTGTAGCCACTTCCTATAGACTCAATTACGAAAATCACAGTGAAAAAAAAAAACCTAACCTTATGAAATGGGCCAACACGCTGTTCGCCGCCCGCCGGCATAAGACTTGAAGTTTCTCATGATCATCTCTTTAATGAATAGCCTTGGAGCTCTAGATACACAACGAGGAGATTCAGGCATCAAATCGTCGGAGATCGACGAGTTCCATTTCTACGCCCATTCTTCACTGGTTAAACACTAGTGATCACTACCTGTTTCCGGAGACGAATTGCATGGAGATTACCATCGACTGATCGGAAGGAAAAAAAGTACGTCAGGGCACCGGTTTAGAGAGTAAACTTCGGCGGAACTCCGGCGAAGTGCTATCGAATTGGCCAGCAACCATGGCGTCTTAATCAGTGGATCACTAAAGATCGCTTGGGTCCCATATTTTTATCTATATAAATCTCATAGAGTAAGGAATAAACTACATCATATCTCTATTTTTTTTTCTAATTACAATAATTCCTTAAAAAATATACATTTCTGATACATAAGTCACCATCCGGATACATTAACTTTTGATATAAGAAATATCAATTTGTTGCGCTAAAATAGGAAATAAAATGTGGAAATCAAATTAAATCTTACAAATTACGCTTATGTTTCTTCTTACTTTCAATCATACAAAGGCAAATCCTAACAGAAAGAAGAATATCAAAATTTCAAATTGTTTCCCCGTTTCAACGAAGAAACATTTCAAATTTGATTTAAAAACTTTTGTCGAAATTTTGGATAAGAGAGGTGAGTTATGAAGGATACAAAAGTGATGGAATTGTTGTTGGTCAAAAGATTTCTTCTGTGAATCTTTAAGTTCATCGAAGATCCTTTCAATTTTGATTCAAGATTGTCAAAAATTTTGAGATTCAAAATTGATCTCCAGTTCATCGGAGAACCTTTCAATTTTGATTCAAAATTGTTGAAAATTTTGATTCAAAATTGTTGAAAATTTTGAGATTCAAAATTCTCCTCCTAGTTCGTTGAAGATTTTTTCAATTTTGATTCAAAATTATCAAAAATTTTGAGAAGATACATCATGAATATCTTTGCTAGTCTTGTTATTATCATCGTATATACTGATTTAAAGAAGTTCTTGAGCTTCTCTACGGCTCTCAGGCTCTCCTTTCGTGTTGATGTCGCCTCTATGGTGTTTTCCTCCTCTATCGACATTAACTATATACTTGTATACTGAATATCAAATTCGAACTCTCAGTGCTTCTGCAAAGTAAAAGAAACGGGAAAAATAGAAGAACACAACATTGATAGAGCAACTGGATAGATTTACATGTATCAGTTTTTATGTATTTATGTATCATGACATAAAATTGTGCATGATACATTATTATTTATAACTTTTAACTTCAGGGTAAAGAGATCTCATAGTGAAAGATATGAAATTACATGTATTGCGTTGTGTAGTCAATTTTTTAATTTGTGAAGTCGAGATAGATATATTACTCATAATACATTACTATTTCTAAAATATTTAGTAGATGGCTAAGTATTGTAATCCTACCTGATACATTAAAATAGTAACGGTTGCTCATAAGGTGTTTTGTTTTAGATCGATACATTACCTTGTGACAATTATTACGTATCAGATACATGTAGTGTTAATTTTATATGAATGTATTATGACCAAAGTTTTTTTGATTTATTTTTTCGAGATGGATATATTACTCATGATACGTACATTATTATTCCTAAAATATTTAAAATTTGCTAAGTATTGCAATCCTATAGATACATTATAGAACTAAAGATTGCTTATAAAGTGTTTGGTTTTATATTGAAACATTACTGTGTGATAGATATTAAGTATCATATACATGTAGTGTTAATTTGTATAAATGTATCATTGCCAAAGAATGGGTATTTAGCAGTAATTTGTATAAATGTATTATGGCCATTAATGTGTATCAGATACATGTGATATAATATCAGTTATAGTGCATTATGTTTTATGTACCAAGATTATCGTTGGATAATCTTGTTACACAACAAAAGACTGATTTTTTACAATCTGTATCCTTTTGAAATTAAAAAGTATAGAAGATACATTATAAATTTGATATATTGTAGATGATACATTAGACATTATTTATGTATCAAGTACATAAGTATTGAACATAAAACCTACTAGTCGAATATTCAACAAATGTATCAATGTAATAAATTTATACATGATACATTGCATAAAACATAATTTGTAGCATTGATGTATCAGAAATGTCAGAAATGTCATACCACCGACAAAAGTTAATTTAAGAAACAAAATAAACAAGATACATTGTGAATTTGTAACTTTGGTAAAGATGGGAGTGAAAATTCATCCTACTTATATTTTGCCTTCTCCAACTCATGATTCTTCATGAATAATGGATATTTTCTTTATTTAGATCTATTTTCAACAAAATCTTCATCGTTAGAATCAAAGACACAACGTGCAGTACCTTGAGTAGTTAAAACTAATTGGGTAATCTTAATACTAAAAGAAGAAGCATCATCCATAAGTATTAGTAAATTGATGATGAAAAAAAATAAAAATGAACGGAGAGAAATAAGAAAGACGAAAACTACATATTCAAGAAGTTGAAATTGATTTGACAGGAGAGAACATTTTGAATTTCAAACTGTAAGGAATTAATTAACTGATAAGATTGTGGGAGTGAAAATAGGGAGAGAATGATGGAGTAAATTAAGGAAGAAAAATGATTTTGGGAGTGTAAGATTATGTATCCGAAAGTTTAGTTTTGAGAGTAAAATAAGGAATATTGAAAATATTTTGGAATGATAGGGAATAATGGAAAATAAAGATGTGTATATAGGTAATTTTTCTAAAAAAAAAAGTACTTATAAACATTATTGAAAAAAAATTATATATACTTTTAAATTAAAAAATAAAGTGTAAGAAGTAAAAAAGAAATGTCGTTAGTTTTTCCACTTTTCTAAGGGAATGTAACATTTTTTGGGAATAATTTCCTTATGTGGGAAATTGTGTTTCCTTATTTACATCTAAGAATTTGACCATATATTATTATTTACCTTATATTCATCTTTTTTATTATTTTATTCTCAATATTGAACTTCTCCTACAAAATCCTTTGATTTACTGTTGCTTATAAGTTACAAAATAATAAAATTTGTTTTTGAGTGTCTTCTTCAAAATCTCAAGAAGTGCGACAAGCAATCATTATAATGAAGGAACACAACACTATTTCGATATTATTATATCAACTTATCATATACGTGCCAGGTTTTGTTGTCCTAACTTTATTTTATAATTTTATCTTGTTAACTTATTATAAGAATATATATTCTTAGTTCATAAGAATATATATTCTTGTTCAAAACAATTTGAAGCATATGAAAATATTTTGATTTTTTATTTAGTGGTAAAAAATTGAGTTAAAAAAATATTGTCGTAACATTGAACTTTCTTTAACACTTAATAGTTATTCTTATATTGATGGTTTAGATTTATTTTTTGAATTAAAACTGTTAAGAGAAATAATACAGATAGAACATAATGATCTAATGGAAATACTCAATCAGATAAAAAGACTTGATTCTTTTCCTAATGCATATATTGCTTATAGAATAATGTTAACAATTCATGTAATCGTTGCTTCAGTTGACAGAAGTTTTTCAAAACAAAAATTGATAAAATCTCATCTAAGATCAACAATATCTTAAGAGAGAATAAATGAATTAGCTATATTATCAATTGAAAATGAATTACTAAAACAAATCGATTATAAAACAATAATTAATGACTTCACATCTAATAAAACTAGAAACGTAGATTTTAAATAAAAGTATATATGATGATTTTAAAAATAAAAAATAAAAAAAATATTAGGACTCCTTTTTAAAGTTTCGCTTTAGGCCTCAATCTTATTGAGTCGGCCCTACCAGCAATAGGGGAAAAAAGAGCAAAACGTTTGGTCGTTTTTTTTTTGATTTTTTTGTTTTTGGAGAAGATGAAATATTTGAGCGGAAAATTCAATTGCTCTAGAATCGAATTAGTAGGTCTACTGCTATTGGGATTTGGGTGGACCAGGTTCGTAAAAAAAGTCATGCGGGATAGAGCAGGTTGAATATTTTGCAGGTTCAATCAGACCCGCTTCATCCCGCACTCGTCTGCCACATTGACAACCCTACTTATTTTAAGTAGTGGGAAATGTTTATAAATATTGAGAAACTCAGACTTTTGACAAATTTTACTTTTAACACCACATGTTGAAATTCTTTAATTTTGAAATTAACTTGAGTCAAATCCTGGCAAGAGTTTGTTGATTGCGTAAGGACGATTACCTTGATGATGAATTCCATGATAGTAAGAAATCAAAATTAATCATCTGAAGTTTAATAGCTCGTTGTTTGGAAGCAAAAACTAAAAAGGGAAAATGGTCAAATATATGCCTAAAGTATTTCAAAATAGATCAGGTTTTACCCCGTTATATTTTTAGCTCAGAGATATTCTCATTATAAAGTTTTTTGGCACAAAATTACTCTTCAACTAGCGAAATAACTCAAAAATACTCGTCTTACTAACAAAACAAGAAAAATTGGGTCAATCCAACAAGTCTACAGCTTGTTTTTAAACGATAACAAAATACTACTGTAAGGGGTCGTTTGGTTTGAAAATGAGTTATGATGGGATAAGTTATGTTGGGATAAGTTATGTTGAGATTAGTTATGATGGGATAGGTTGTGTTGGGATTATTTTTTATTGAGTGTTTGGTTTGTTGTATTCAAAATAATAAATTTTAAGAACAATTTATTTGTTTACAAAAATGCCCCTCATTAATGTAAAAAGTGATATAACAAAAGGGTTGAAAGAGACATTTTTGTCATTTACCTATTTTATCCCGGGATAAGTTATTCCGGGATTACTATACCACCCTAGGTTAGGGATAACTTATCCCGGTACTAATTATTAATCCCGGGATAAGTTATCCCGAACTTGCCAACCAAATAACAAAATAAGCGGTACTATAATTTAATCCCGGGACTATTTGGTATTATCCCTCACACCAAACGAGCCCTAAAAGTATTGGCTATACTTTAAATAGCGTCCTTCAAGTGACTAGCTATATGTGCGAACCGTTGCCCCTATATATACATGATGATATCTAAGAAGAGTGAGTTTGGCTTGGACTTTGTTTGATCGAATTGAGCTCAAATCGATACATAGCTATTAAAATGTCGATGGTTTTGCTATAATCGTTATTTATAGAATTTGCACCAGATATCCACCTTTAAATGTGCTATTTAAAACTGAGTTAATTTTCAAGTCTACAAAGGGCAAATTCATATACCAAATCTGAGGTTTGAAGTTTGGCTTCGGCCATTTTATACTTCAGACCCCAAGGATTGATAGTT